AGAATTATATCCTATAGTTTCTCGTTATTTAAGCGTTTGCCAAATTTTGTACATCGTCTGTAGAGGGTGTTTATAACCACAAAACGACTCTAAGTTTTCTAGTTATTTGCAGTTTCTCAGAAGGTACAGTTGAAAATAAGTAAATACCACCAAAAGGAGGATTTTTAATGGATGGATACAAGACTTTCCAATTACATATTTAAGAAAAAGTACATTTTGCGCTTATAAACACACACTGTATAGACGACGCACAAATTTCAAAAAAAAAAATAAATGCTGAGAAATTATGAGATACTAGGGCGGTTCAATAAGTACCCGTATTAGAAATGAAGACACCATTTATTCCAAAAAAATTTCTTTTTATTTTTCAACATAATCCCCTTTTAGAATTCATGCAGTTTGGCTGGTGCGTTATCGAGGTGAAACAGCACCTTCTTTTTCGTCAAATGTGGCCAAGTCTCCTTCAGTTTTTTGTCGAAGTGGTCCAATAACTCACCATAGTATTTTCCAGTGATCGTTCTTCCTTTTTCTAAAAAATCCACGAGGATTACGCAGTTCGCATCCCAAAAAATCGTCGCCATGATCTTTCCGGCCGATGGGACTGTCTTCGTCTTCTTTGGAGCAGATTCACCGAGAAAAATCCATTGTTTTGATTGTTGCTTGGCCTCTGGTATGTAATGATGAATCCAGGTTTCATCGACGGTGATAACTCGATGCAAAAACTCCTTCGGATGTCGCTTAAATTGCTCCAAACACTGCTTCGAAGTTAACATCAGCCGCATCCGCTGAGCAATCGCAGCACCCATCGGGCCGACAATTTTTTCATAGCCAACTTATCATGTAAAACATTGATTGCCGTTCAGGCCGACACACCTACGGCCTCTGCGACTTCGCGCACTTTCGTTCGTCGATCAGCGAGAATCATGTCGTGACTTTTTGAATGAATTCGTCAGTAACCACGTCTGCCGGGCTTCTTGGTCGATCCTCATCAAAAACGGATGTTCGCCCACAATTAAATTCGTTGAATTAATATCTAATTGTAGTCATAGATGGCGAAGTGTCCCCATAAACATCATCCAACTTTGCTTTTATCTCCTCGCATTTTCCGCATCCAAAAACAAAAAGCGTATTATCGAACGATACTATTCTTTTTCCATCCTAGCGAACATCACGAAACACGTGTTACTCGAATGGCTGCCAAATC